ATTAAGACACAGCTCAATCTAGTGCGGAAAGTGTTAGTGGGGGACAGGAGGATAAGGGACCCATCCTGGCTTGGGAGGGTCAAGGGAGGGTCAAGGGAGAGTCAAGGGAGGCCTCCCAGAGAGACACCTTTCACTGTAGCGGGAAGGAAGGAGGTCGTGTGCAATGGTTTTTGACAATGGCAAGTTCCCATCTGATGGCTTCCGATTCCTTTGAAAAGTGGAGGTCTGGTATATCAGCTAGGGGGCAGAGAAAAGAGAAGGTGAGGAAAGTGAAGACATTTGAATTGATTTTTTTTTAGTAGAAATGGAGAGTTTTAAAGGAATGCAGTAAGCTTCACAGGCAGAGAGCTTTGCCTGGTTTGATCACCAGTGTATCCCAAGTACTTAGAACAACAGTACCTAGCACATAATAGAATTCATAAATAAACGCTTTTCAAGTGATGGTGGAGCTGACCATTAGTTGTAGACCATGAGTTTATGGTGACACCAGCTTACTCATATGTGTGATTTTATCCAATAGGGCTGAGCCACAGCCTACAGGGCAGGCCTGACAGAGGCAGGGAGTTGGGATTTTGCCAGATAGAAATGATGAAAGGAGAATGAATTGAGAAGCATTTGGGATGTTGACCATAAAGTCATGGAGAGGGAGGAAATGAAGGCAAGAGGTTGTTCACTGACAGGGAAGAGGAGGAAGGACCAATGGAATGGATGTCCTGACAAGGTTGAAGAATTGTCAACTTTAGGACAAATCTGAAGATTGAAGTCAGAGGGCAGGATGTCAGGCTGTGTTATTTCAGAAATCAAAGCAGCTCCTGAGGATGAGGCTTCAGCTTTGACCATAGCTGGACTGGAGCAGAGGGACTGGACTCTGAGATGAAAAGGCCTAGGAATTGAGAGCCTAGGTCATTTTAATGGTCTCCCGTAGATTCCCCCTTTTCAAGATTCCTGCCCTGGGCCCCGTCCAGACTCTTCCCCAACCTTCAGAGGGTCTACATTCATACTTCAGGTTAAGCCTTAAATCACAGAAGAGTAATGGCATAGCTCTGGGTCAGAAGACAGAAAGGGAAGCTAGAGAGAGCTGTAGTGAACATCTGTTTTATTTTGTTTTGATACCAACATGCATACACCTTTTTAGAAACAGTATGTCTATGTCCTCTGAAGAAACTACCACACTCCCACTTCTTCAGTCTCAGTCCATGTTCCCTTCACACCCTTATTCCAAGGGTGTATATGAGACTCAGACCTGTCAGGAAAAGCAGTCTATTCCCCTGTGGGCAGTACAATGAGTAGTTCAGGGATGGATACATGACCAATTGGAACCCATAACACAACGTTGTCAGAGTGACATCACATTTTTAGCATCACCTGCACCTGCTACCACACAAAACCTGAGAAAAGTCAGCAGAGAAGGCAAAGAGCCAAGAAGTAGAAACTGAATGCTGATGACATTGAATTGAGTCCATGAGTCAGTCCTACTACCTGAAGTCAGCCTTACCCCTGGACTGTTCAGTTGTCAGTCAATATATTCCCATTCTTTTTACACCTGTTGGATTTTATTTTCTGTCATTTCTATCTAAATGATTCCTCACAGTACAAGGGGGGTTCTCAATCTTTGGCTCTGCCTTCGGAAGGAATATATATTCTCTGAGCTCAGTTTCCCCTTATGTGAAAGGCGATAACAATACCTTTTCAAGGAGTTGTAAAGATTAAATGAAATAATAATTGTCAGAGTACAAATGTGTTCCATAACACTGAGAAGCAAGAAACATCACATTACTTTTCTAAATTAAATTAAATCTGGCTCAAAATTCCTATATACTAGGGTTTGAAGACATCCAATATTAATCATGATCAGGGGTCTTTTTCCCTCTAGTGTGGTATACACTGATGAAAAACCAAAAAAGAAAAAAAAGGAAAATAAAACCACTTAGGAAAGAACCTCAAGCTGAGTCTGCCATAGTTGCCCCTAGGATATGCATTGTCTAAACTCATTGGTCCATTTCAAAACAGGTGGCTGTACAACATCTCTGCCAAGTATGCACCCTAGCATCTTTTGCTGCAGTTTTCAAGACTACCTGCTAGATGTTTAGTGGCCTAACCATTAAATCAGCTCTCCCCATCAGAAGTCCTGATGCCTCCTAGTGAACTTTTGTACAGCCTCTGTCACTCATGGGACCCATTGGTAAATCTTTTTTCCCAAGTCCTTGGACCCACTGCTATATTTGGGTAACTCCTCTTCCCTCAACCTAGCACACCCACCAACTTCTTCTCAAGAACACCCAGCTAAATTAAGTTCCCCTCCCACACAAGAGCTTGGATAAAGTTGTAGATCGGGTGCCTTGCAACTTTGGTTTGGGACTAGAAAATACAAAATCCATTAAGAATTCCATGAGATAAGAAATCTACAGTTCCTGGGAGAGAAGAGGACAAAATTACCTTTTTATCCCACCTGCAAGAAATAGGAGACAGCAATTAATAACTTAGTAAATTATCCTGCAATAAGTACAGGTTAACTAGCACAGAATAAGTATTCAGTATTCCTTCTCTAAGGACCAAACTTATCTTCTTCATCCAGAGGTAGCAAACCCAAATACCAGTAATACAAATGAGTAAAACTGGACAAACATAAGAAACCAAATCAAAGACACAATGATAAACAGTAACTAACCCTTAGCCTTGACCATTAACAATGAAAATATGGTAAGAACCATGTGGAATTGGAGAGCACATGTTCACTTCAAAGGGAGCAACTGCTACTTAATTCTAAATCAGGGATGCCCAACCTGTAGCCCAGGATGGCTGTGAATGCATCCCAACACAAAATCATGAATTTACTCAAAAGATTATGATATTATTTTGTGATTATGTGTCACAATATATTTAATCTGTGGCCCGAGACAAGTCTTCCTCTTCCAGTGTGGTGCAGAGGCACCAAAAGGTTGGATACCCCCACAAATGGTCTTTACTTGGTGGGAATGAGAATCCAATGTTGCCAGATTTTGAAATGTTGATTATTATATACAATCTATTAAGCTTACAGTGTTGAATACTCAATAAAGTGTTTAATTAAAAAACAAAACTGCTGGCCACATTGTCTGGGCCAAATTTTACATATCAGTTGGTCATCTTTAAGCCTTTTTATGGTTTCAGCTGCTAAATATATGCTGCTAGCTGGCAAATTTCCATCTTCCTCATAGACCGCTCTCCCAAGCTTCAGATCTATGTGTCTAATTGTCTCCTGCCTAGCTCTTCCTCGTCACAGGGACCTCAAATTCAAATGTCTAAGATGGAACCCATCAATTCGACACACACCCTAGGATGGTATCCAGGTCTGTGTTCCCACTCTCAGTAAAATGGCACTAACATACACACCCAGTTTCCTCTTAGAAACCCTGGAGTCATTCTCAACTCCCCCTCCCTCCACCCCATCCCATTGGTTACAAAGTCCAATCAGTTATATCTGCGGAATTCTACTTAAACCCATTATTCTCCATTCCCAACATTACTGCCTTGATTTAGGCCTCTTCTTTTATTTTGCCTAAATTAAAGCAAGAGTTCCCTAACTAATCTCTTGCCTTCAATCTCTAATCTATTTACCCTCTCTAAAGCCAGAGTGTTCTTTCCAAGATACAAAGTTGATTTTGTCACTCCCCTGCTCAAAATTTTTCAGTGATCTACCATTACCTTCAGAATACATTTCAACTTCTTAGACTAGTATTCAGGGCCCTTTGTGATCTTGTCTTTCCAGGTCTACCTCCTATTGCTTCCTCAACCCCTACCGCATTGAAATACCTTAATTCTTTCTGATGGAGCATATTTTCTCTGCCCTAGCACCTGTATGCAGGTTATTCCTCCTGCTTGCACTGTCCTCTCACTCCCTACACTCTCATTTTCTTGGTTCCTCAAAGCATTAGCCTTTTCTTCTAACAAGCTATCCCCTTCCCCAGGCTGGTTAGATAGCCTTTTCTGCCTCCATTGTGCATATCTCTATTTTATTGTCTATTACTTGACTGCTTTCCCCACTGAAACAGGACTTACTTTAGAGACCCTGTCTTCTATCTACTCAAGACTGAGTGTAATACCTGATCAATAAATATATATATTGAATTAATTAATTAATCCAACTTAGGGTAGCAATGGAGAAAAATTTCTTGCCCAAGATGACATGGCCCATCAGTGACAAAACTAGAGAACCCAGGTCTCCTCAATTTTAACTCAGTGCTCTTTCTACCAGACTAAACTGTCCTTTGAGAGGGAGAGGGTTAGAAGAGAGGCATTAACTTGTACTGGGGAGGCAGAGATTGAAGGCTGGCCCTGAAAATAAGAGTTGACATGGAATAAGTGGTGGTTTTAGGGGAAAGAGGGGCAAATGAAGAAAAATGGTCAAGCACATTTGATCTATTTGTCATCCTTAATATGAATGCTTGCCAAAAATATCTCAGGCAACCTAGTCAAATAAGACAGTTTGTAACTGACATGAAATTAAAAAAAAAGGAAGGAGAATATTCTATCCATTAAAAATGGAAGGAGGCTTGTAATTGGGAGCCTTAAATAAAATTTTAATGTATCATGTACATAATATAGCATATACACTATGTGCAATTCTAAGCATATAAATATTCATTTAATTCTCAAAACAACCCTATGTGGTAATAAATAATATTATTCTCATTTTATAGGTGAAAAACTGAGGCACTGAAAGATTAAATTTGACTAAGATTTTACAGGTAGAAAGTGGCAGAGCTAGTGTCCAAATGGGACAGTTTCAATGCTAGAATCCATGTCCTTATCCACAATGCCTTAAGCATAATTCTGACCTTGGCAATCAAGGCAAAAGAGGATCACCCAGGTTTCACTGTAGGAAGTATGAATTGTCTCATGGAAGGAATTTTTTTTACCCTAAATTCAGGGAGAAGGCTGTTAGGCACGTGAGGCATGGGGGTTCTTTATTCTGTGATGCAGTGATGACATCAGGATAAACTGCCACTCGGTGGAGGAAAATGGACTGGCTGATAGAGGGCATCCTTGGGGCTGAGGGGGACAAGGGGCTTCTCAGGAGCCAGCTGACCCATGCCCTGGCCTGCAGACACTGTGGCAGCAGCTGTCTCCAGAGTACAGGGAATATAGTGACACTATTCCTGTTCGTGGTTTGGCAGATCCGGAGGTGGTGGCAGCTTGGGAGCTGGAGACATCTTCAGCCCTGGTACTCTGGGGACATGACGCATGGCAAGGTGGGTGACATAGATGTGCTTAGAGCTAAATGACTGTTGACATCCCATGTGAATTTTGGTGAGGAGTCATTAAAATGAATACGAGCCCAAGTGAGTGACTGACTATAAGCCTTTAATGAGGCTGGGTGACTGACCACTGATACTAGATTTGAAGCCAGGTGAGGGATCACTTACCATAGATGTAGGATTATGTAAGGAATGCCAGTCTCCACATGCCATTAACATTGGATGGGTAAGTGACTGTTGACCACGGATGTGGGGCCAGCTGAGTAACCGTTCACTCTGGATGTGGAACAGAGACTGAGCTTCATGACACATCTTGTATGTCTGAAAAGATACTATTCATGCCTGATAGTATCTTTCTCCATCCCCCAGGGCCTACTACTGTACTGTGTGGTTTTCCTTGGTCATTTGTGGAGGCAGAAGTCAGAGGAAGAGGAAGAGGAAGAAGAGGGAGAAGAGGAGAAAGAAGAGGTGATATTTCTGGACCCACTGAAGCCATGTTCTCTTCCCAAAGAAGCTCCTGTTGGAGAGCAAGCCACCACAGCCCCATCCCAACCATCCTGTGATTCTGAGAGCCAACACAAGATGACAGGGACACCAGAGTTAGTACTCACACAGACCCCAAGCCCTTCCAGATCATTTCCCACCTTTCAGATCCTTCCCAACTTGCCTGTGAGGTATAAGACAGCATCGGGGAGTCGTCTACAGCAGAGAAAAGGCCAGCTCTTCTGCGGACTCCCTTCTCTGCACAGTGAGTCCTTAGAGGCCATCATCCTGAGCTCAGATGGCTGCTCTCCCTGGAAGTTACCTGTTGGTCCTTCTGTCTGCTTCAACAAGCTTTCCTTCCTGAATAGGTCCAACCTGCTGTTTCCTCAGTATTGTTCCCAAGCCCCGCTCCCTATGCATAAAGGGCATACTACGAAAGATGTGGAGACGTTCCCCAATCCTCAGCAGCTTCCCCCTCCATCTTCCCCTTCTGTCCCATCACTACCCCTCCATCTTAAGTCTTTTCCCATAGACCACAAAGGAGACCATTCTGGTGCTCAGGCACCTACACAGTGGCTTATGTGGCAGAGAGCAGTCCCTTGGGTCTCTGAGGATCAAGCTCTGCACCCACAGCCTGAACTCCAAAGAACAAGACCCTCCAAGTTGTTCCCTTCATCTGAGGTGTGGTGGGGGATGCCATGGGATCCTGGCCTCCCACAGCACATTCCAGATTCACTCTCTACCTCTCTGCTGTATCCCTCTAACTGTCTGAGAGTCTTGATGAGGCTTGAGAGCCCAATGAGAACCACAGTGCAAAATGAGGACGCCAAAGCCTCTGAGCCAGCAATGCCAGTTCCCAGCCCAACCCCAGACTCTCTGCCAGAATGCCAGGGGGTCAGCTCTATAGGAGGCCTGTATGGATCTGATGACCTCTGGGAAACCACAAGGCAAAGAGAAAATCCTCAGTTCTCTAAGCCTCCAATCCTGGTCCCTTGCCAATCTGTAGTTCCCATAACAGAGCCTCAAGAAACTAGACCCCAGGGAGTTCCACCTGGATGTGAGACTCAGTGGAGAACCACAGGACATAAAAAGAGCCCGAAAGCCTCTGAGCCCCCAATACTGGCCCCTTACCAACCCTCAGATTCTCTGTCAGAATCCCAGAAAGTCAGCTCTGAAGGAGGACCTCTTATACCTAGGGACTTTTTGGGAACAATGGGAGACAGACAGAAGTCTAAGGCCTCTGGGTTTCCAATGCCAGCCCCCTGTCCTCCCTCAGACCCCCTGCCAGGACTCCAGAGAGGCAGTTCCCTGGGAGATCCACCTGGATACAAGTCCCACTGGGGATGCAGAGAAAATTCAGAAAACCCACAGGCCTTTGAACCCCCAGACTTGGACTTCAATCTAGGGTTCTATGGAACCAGCCCTACATGTGTCCCATCAGGATCTGAGACTCTATGGAAGGGCATACAAAAAAGAGAAAATCTTTGGGTCTCTGCAGACTCTGTTTTACCTTCCAGTCCTCCCTCAGCCTGTCTGCTAGAGTCTCTAGGGATGGGCCCCCAGGGAGTCCTGTCTAAGTGCAAGGCTTTGTGGGAGACCACAGGGCAGACAGAGAACCTCTGGACCTCTGAGTCTACAGCCCCTGACTATAGTCAGTCTGTAGCTCCCATTCCTGAATCTTACAGAGTCGATCCTGAGGGAGGCCCCATTACATCAGAAACTGCATGGAAGAACATTGAACATTCCAGGAATTCTTGGGCTTCTGAGCCCCCATCTCTGCCCCTCAGCCCATATCCAGCTCTCATACTAGAACCCCTCAGAGTTAGCCCAAAGGGGGTCCTGTCTGATTATGAGGCTAGCTGTGGGGACACACAAAGGAGAGAGAGCTCCTGGTCTTCTGAGCTCCCAGCTCCCAGCTTACCCCCAAACCCACACGGAGCTAGACCACTGGGAGTCTTTTCTGACTCTGAACCTGTCGGGGGGCACATGAAGCAGGAAAAAGTCTGTTGTGCTCCTGTGTCTCCATTCTGGGGCCCCAGCCCACCTCCAAACTCTATGTCAAAGTCTCACTCAAGTGAGCCTATTGGAGACCAAAGCAACTGTAAGACTGAGGAGGCGGCAGTGGAGCAGAGAGGGAACAGCTGGGCCACTGAGCTCTCAGTCCCAACTCCTAACACATTCTTTGCTTCTGTACCAGATCCACACATTGACCTTAGGTTTGTGAGGAGGAATGTGCAACTAAGAGAGATCCCCCAGGGCCCCAGCCTTCCAGCAGCAGATCCCCTGCAGCCAATACCCTGGCCTCCCGCCATAGCTGAAGCTTTGAAGACTCGGCCCAACCAGCCTGGCCTACCCAAGGAAGAGCTGCTCCCAGGAGTTAAGGCAGAGACCCCACCCTCCCAGAGGCAGGATGTCCCAGAGGTGTCCACCCACTCTGGGATCCAGGCCTGGCACTGGAGTAGAGAATTAGAACTCAGGCTGACGAAACTGCAGCTGAGCCCTGCTTCCAGATCCCCTGGCCCAAGTGAGTCATCTGGCAGTTCCCCTGCCCTGAGCTTCATAACGCCAGGCACTTGGAGACTTTCTTCCTACTCCTCACAACAGACTCATCACCCCAATCTGTGCCCCCATTCTTCAAGGTGTCACCCCCCAAAAGCTGAGAGTACAGTAACTCAGTCTGTCCAGTTCTTGCACTGTTATCACTCCCAGTCCTCTTCCCATCCTCAGCCACACTGGTCTGGTAGGGCAGAACAAAGGTCTCAGAGAGAGGAAAGGGAGAAGGCAAAGATGGTGGCCCTGGTTCCACCTCAGGGACCACGTGTTTACATGGAGGCTGATGAAAACTGCCCAGGCTTCAGAGAGGCCTCATACCCTGTGGTTCCAGTCTCAGGTGACAGGCAAGACAAAGCTTCAGTCCTATCTTCAGCCAAAAAGAGAGAGCGCCCCAGGAAACCCAAAGCAGAAGACTACAGAGGAGGGGATGCAAGATTGGGGTCATCCACAGTTCCAGGGAAGAGCCATCCAGCCCAGGCTGGAAGACTAGTGGAGGCCCCTGTAAACCGACTTTTCCAAAGGAACCAGAGCTCTCTACACTCTGCTCTCCCCCAGCAGCTTTACTCCAAGGCTACAGGTTCCCAAGATAAGGGAGAAGCAGGGCTGAGAGCTGGTGATATTCTGATCCCTCGGCACTGTAAGCACTGCCCTTGGGCCCACATGGAAAAGCATTTCCCTTCTCGCACACCTCCAGCTTCCCTTACCAGGGGTCTGCGAAAGCTTCTAGCCAAGTGTCTGAGTACCCGTGGGCCCGGCCCACCAAATCCAGTCAGCATGAGGAAAAGCTGGTAGTGCTGACACCTGAGGGCTGGGGAAGCAAGCAGAGGAAATCCTAATAAACTAGCTGAACTAGACAAATCCCACTCATGTCTTTTTTGGAGTCTGGGATACTGGGAATGTCAGTTCCCTATTCACTTCTGCAGCAGCTATATTGCCTCAGAATCAGGCAGGTCCTTAATGAGCTCAGGATTCTGCAGGCTTAAATTTCTTTTCAAGCCCTTCACAGATGATAGGTCTGGGGTCCACACATTCCTTTCTACAGGGTGAAGCTGAAAGGCCAGGGGAGCACAGTCCAGTGCTGCTCTTGAGAAAAACTTTACAGCAAGTGAAAAGAAAATACATCTATTCACATGAGCACAATAAGTGTGGGTCTAGGCAGACCCAGTGCATGCCCAGGTATGGTCCTCTTCTCCATTCACTTGACCCACAAGTTCTTCATGTATTTTTCCAACCATTTCTTCTCAGCCTTTTGCTTTTTTTCTCTCCCTGGGTCAGCTCAACAACCATTCATTCCCAAGGCTACAAAAACAAGTGCTTTTCATGTTTAGTGGCCATCTGGATTTCTTCTAGATTTGCCTGTTCATATCCTTTACCCCCTTTTCTACTGCACTATTTGCTGCACTATTAGTTTTCTACTGCTGCTGTAACAAATTCCCACAAAACTATACAAATTTACTTTGTCAGAAAAATAAAATCAATAGGTTGACAGGATTGCATTTTTTTCTGTAGTCACAGAGTTAAGAGTCATTCCTTGTCTTTCCTGGCTTTCTTGAGGCTGCCCACACTCCTTGGCTACCAGCCCGTTACTCCATCTTCAAAGTTAGCAAATGCTTCCCTCTTCCACTTTTAAAAACACCTGTAAATACACTGGGCCCACCTAGATAATCTGAAATACTATTCCTATCTTAAAGTCAGTTGGTTAGCATCCTTATTTCCATTTACAGCCTTAATTCCCTTTTCCATGCAAAATAACATTCACAGGTTCCTGAGATTAGAATGTAAACATCTTTTGGGAGCCATTATCCTGCCTACCAAAAACATTAACTCAACCTATTATGTATGTTGCAAATATTTTCTCTCAATCTGTGGCTTATTTTCTAATTTTAAGGTGATTTTTACTGTACCAAAGTTTAAAATTTTTATGTAGTGAAATCTACCAACATTTTCCTTTATGGTTTCTAAAGTATTTTCTTCTGGTACTTCTATAATTTTATATATTAATGTTTAGATTGTTAAGCTACCTTCTGAGATGGTAGGTGAAAATCTAACCCCTCCCCAAAAGTAGATGTCCAATTTTACCAGTACCATTTAAAAAATTTAAATATATATAAATGTCTTACACCCATTTCATTAAGTGCAATATTTCAAAACATGGGTAAAATTTTAAGCATCTCTAGACTTCAGATCCACACATCCAACAGCCTACTAGACATCATCTCATTTGCAACTTGTCCAAAACTTAACTCATTTTCCCTGTAACCTTTTCCTCCAATGTGGCCATTCCTATTGAAGGGTACCACAACAAACCCAATACCATAGTCAGAAGTCTGTCATTCTTCACTCCTCCCTTCCTCTTACTTCCCTACCTAATCTATCATCAAACACTGTTGATTAAAGCTATGATGTGCATTTCAAATCCATTTCCACTTCTCCATCTTCATCATCACTGTCAGTTCAGTAATCATTTCTCATCAAATTAGTAGCCTGTTTCTTCTAATCCATCCCTTCACATGGCTCCAAATCTCTGGAGGTCAAATGACCCAAACTCAACAAGTGTCATAAAAATTTTAGTACTACAATTAAATTTTAGCCCTGACAGGTGTGGCTCAGTGGATTGAGCGCTGGTTTGTTAACCAGAAGACTGCCAGTTCAGTTCCCAATCAGGGCACATGCCTTGATTGCAGGCCAGGTCCCCAGCTGGGGGCATGTAAGAGGCATGAATTGCTAATTCTTTCACACAAAGTTTCTCTCCCTTTCTCCTTTCCTTCCCCTCTCTAAAAATAAAAAAATAAAATCCTTTTAAAAATAATTTTTAAAAATTACATAAAACATAGAGGAAAAAATACTATTGTTATTTCTGGATAGAAAAAGGTAAGTTTAAATAAAGGAACAAAATAGATGCAACCTGGGGTTTGAGATTGGATACTGATTTGGCCAAAATGGTTGTGAATGACAGTCCTGGCCGGTGTGGCTCAGTGGGTTTGGTGCTGGCCTGCAAACCAAAAGGTCGCAGATTCAATTCTCAGTCAGGGAGCATGACTGGGTTGCAGGCCAATGTTTCTCTTCCTCTCTTTCTTCCTCCTTTTCCATCTAAAAATAAATAAGTAAAATCTCTCTTTAAAAAAAAAAAAAAAAAAGGTCGCAAATGACGTATCTGGGCCACTTGGGAAACGGTGAATATGGTATGAAAACTACACTATAAGAAAACTTATCAAAAGGAAGAGATTAGCATTAAAAAAAGTTATAAGGCAGAATGACCTCATTTTGATTTAAAAATCCACAGGTATAGACACACATATTTACACACATGCACAGAAAAAGAAAGATATGAACTAAAGATGGTGATCGCATTGCAAATATCATTTTTTTAAATATTCCTTATATTTTTCTATATTTCTACATGCATGTTACTGCTTCTATAAGTAAAAGGCTTGGTTTTTTCTATCCTCACCCAAGGACATTTTTCCATTGCTTTGAAAGAAAGAGGAAGGGAGAGAGGGTTGAGAGAGAAGGGAGGAAAAAAAGAGAAACATCAACTGGTTGCCTCTTATAAGCCCCAACTGGGGTCCGAACCCACAATTTCCCAGTTTGCAGGGCAATGCCCAACAAACTGAGCTTACAAGGGCCAGGGCAAGACAAAAGGTTATTTTTAAAGTGAATTGTCTATGCTGTACACTTGGTGATTGTTGGGTGAATTTTGTTTTATTGCCACAATTTGGGGAAAAAAAACAACAAACTGTCTCTGGCCAGGTAGCTTACTTGGTTAGAGCATTGTCCCGATATGCCAAGGTTGTAGGTTAGATGGTCAGTGCACATACAAGAATGAACCAATGAATGTGTAAGTGGAAAAACAAATCAATGTTTCTCTCTCTCCCCACCTTCCTCTCTAAAATCAATAAATAGCCCTGGCTGGTGTGGCTCAGTGGACTGAGTGCTGCCCTGCAAACCAAAAGGTCACTGGTTTGATTCCCAGTCAAGGCACATGCCTGGGCTGTGGGCTGGGTCCCCCTTTGGGGTATTGAGGATGTGCGAGAGGCAATGTTGGGGACGTGTGGGGACGTGCAAGAGGCAACCAACTGATCTCTCACACACTGATGTTTCTCTTTCTCCCTCCCTTCCCCTCTAAAATAAATACAATCTTTTTTAAAAAAAATCAACCAATGAATGTATGTTAAACAAAGCAATGTCTCCCTTTCTCTTAAAAAAAAAAAAAATCAATTAAAAAAAAACTTTAAAATCAATAAAAAAATTAATTTAAAAAAATCCTCTGCACTGAAATCTGACTCACTTCCCTGCCTAAACTACTCCGCACCCCCACAAGGGCCCGTAATATCTTCAGAATAAAGTTCATTCCTCGCATACGAGTATCTTTACAATGTGATTTCTTACCTCTCCAAATTCAATCCAGGACTCTCTTGCCAGTCAACGTGATGCTTCCTAGGCATTCTCTGTATTTTCTGACCTTTGTACCTTTTGCTAATTGTTCTCAACTTTTCCACGTTGTCTCCCACCTTTCTTTAAAGCCCACCTCAGACTACCTCCACAGCCTTCTCTGATTCTGTTTGTCCCTTCTCGCAGTCTCATAATAATTTGTGCCTTTAGCTCTGACCAGGTAGCTCAGCTGGTTACAGCATTGTCCTGATACACCAAGGTTGCCGGTTTGATCTCCAGTCAGGGCACATACAAGAAACCACCAATTAATGCATAAATAAGTGGAACAACAAATTGATGTTTGTTTTCCTCTCTCCCCCTTCCTCTAAAAAACAAACACACAAAAGCAAAAAACAATTTGTGCCATGTTGATAGCACCCGTTTCTTGATAGTATGGCAATACAAGCTCTTCAAAGGAAGTGAGATTCTGCCGTTGCTGGTGTGGCTCGGTGGACTGCTCACCTGAGAACCAAAGGGTCACTGGTTCAATTTCCAGTCAGGGAACATGCCTGGGGTGCGGGCCAGCCAGGTTCCCAGTAGGGGGCATGTGAGAGGCAACCACACATTGATTTTTCTCTCTTTCCTTCCTTCCTTCCCCTCTAATAATAAAATCTTAAAAAAAAAAAAGAGAGATTCTGTGGGGTCAGGTCCACATTCCCAATCTCGTGCTCTTTCCATTCTACAATACTTCTACTCTGGTTGAGAAAAACCGAAGGTACATGTTGTTCCTCTGCCTCCTCTCACTAATGCCCCTATTCTGTTCCAAAGCTTTATTTATAGCCCAGACCTGAGGGCCTGAGTCCAAAACTCACCACCTGCTGGCTAAGGGTGGAACTGAACTTTCTTTCTCCCCACCTATTACCACTCCCCCCAAAAGTCTCAAAGACAATGCAATTCTGAATTCCTACTTGACACAGGGACATTTAATGAGTCTATGCATCTCTGGGTAGCTTTATGAAAAATCCAAGTCTATATTCTTGTCTTTTTAAGGATTCAGCAGATTATAGTACTGGGTAAGAGTAACAAACCATTTAATGTTTGCCACAGTTCACTCAAATTAATGACTGGCAGACCAATGTTCCTCATGAGCATTGTGTGACTACCAGATTCTCAGGGCAGCTTGTAGGATCAATATCTTGGATCCAATTATATTCTAAGATGTTAAGACTTGTTCCATCTGTGGTTCTCTATAACTGAAGCCATATTCTCAGTTTAAAACCCATCTTTTAATCCTAGCACCTACTGTATGGGAAGCAGTGGTTAGCTACAGTGAAGACCACATTCCAATTTCTTTCTGGGAATTCCATAGGGGAAAAAGACAGACTGGTTGCTACAACCTGCCTCTTGGTTTAAGTATGCAGGCTTCTGCAGATGAAAGGTGACAACCAGACCCTCACTGCTTCCT